TACATACATAGATACATACACACACACACATACAGACACACACACGAACAAACACGAACATACACGAACAGGAACATTAAGGATTCCCTGCTTTGTGAAGCGCCAAACTGTTGGAGCTGAAAGCTCCGAGTATCCCTCTGCATCTTGAGTAGAGCTACCCCTTTACAGCATTTAGGCCGCTTCAGTCTTATCTATTGGCAAAATGACTTGACGAGTTTTCTAGACATGCTTGAGCTGTGGTTGTGCTTATGGCTTATGATGAGCTATATTATGTTTATCCCCCACTATGCTGTTACACACAGCGCTTTGGGATAAGACTGCACGATAACACTATTCTTCCCTTCGCTTGAAGCCGAGTGTGCGGAAGGTCTTCGCGACTCGCGTGGGGATTCCAGGAACGTAATCTCCTGTCGAAGTAGTTGGCGGCTGGTCGGCTAAAAATGGTGGTGGAGGCCAAGGGCTTAGGGGCCTTTGAGTCTTCGGGTTTTGTACCCGGTCTTATGGTTCTGGATTCAATCCGGGTAACAAGGATCCTACTATTTAGGGCACTATACTAGGGTCCCCTCTTTTCGGAAACCCCCCCAATTTCTCCAAACTCCGAAGAAGTGACGCCCAGGCCTTGACGGGGAAAGCACATAGTTTTTGCATTCTCCAACTTGAATTCAATCTTCGCGAGCCCTTCCGGAGTGCCCTTGGAAACTCCTACACCCCAAAACCCTATAAAACTCTACATTCCTACTACCCGCCTTCCTGAAACCCCGAAATCCAAACATCTGAAGCCCAAAGAAAAGCCCGTCAAACCCTAAACGGAAGCCCCTTCAATCCCTAAACAGATGCCCCTTCAAACCCTAAACAAAGAAGACCCTTAAAACAAAGAAGCCCCTTCAAAGCCTAAACAACGAAGCCCCTTCAAAGCCTTAAAAACGAGGCCCCTTCCAACAACCCTAAACAAAGAAGCCCCGTCAAACCCTTAAAAAAAACCTTCAAACCCTAAAAGCAGAAGCGCCCTTCAAAGCCTAAACTGTACCTTAATTTCGCTCCTTCGGACGGCTGTCTTTCGAGGCAGTGCGACTTGGTGGCTGCAAAGCCATTCCTTCCAGGGAGGGGTGTAGGGTTTAGGGGTTTACGGTTTAGTGGTTTAGGGGTTCAGGGGTTAGGGTTATATGGGTTTCGGGTTTAGGGGTTTGGGGCTTTAGGGGAATCTTTCGCCACAAGCGATTTTCTCAATCACGGAAGCACTGAGAAGCACAATGGAATACTCATCTATGCCTCGAACCATCGGCTTTCTCACCATACACACCGGAGAGCGGATGCATCTTTTCAGCACGCATCTAAGTACAGTTGTTGCAGCTTGAAAGTGCCGACAGAGAGAAGTTCCTGTAGAGATTGGGGGAGGATGTAACTCGAGGCTATGACTTGCAGGGATGCTGAGCAGTGAGGCTGCTGACCGACTGCAGGAGCACCGGAGGGAACTACTTGTCTTCCGGAGCTCGACAAGAACAGCTTCTGTGTGTCCACAGCATATGGGGTGATAGCGACTTAAATTACAAAATGTGGACGGCCGTCACCGGAGTCTCAGAGCATTGTGTAAGCAGAGACACACACACACATGCACATGAACTCCTACCGCTCTCTCACTCTCTCTAGAAATACTTGTAGATGTAGAGAGTTTAGAGATCCTTACAGGCTACTGTACCCATCCCCTTACCGAGTTGATCGCCGAATATCGGGGCCTCAACACTTAGAATAGGGTTCGTGGAATAAGACGTACGAAACAAATCTAATCAGCAATCCTAAACGAGACCATTACTGACTATTCCATTCTGGAATCTGAATCTGTCTGATGGGCCAGAGGCGCAGGGGAAAAGTCAACTCGCACGATTATGATTAAACCCTATAAACCTTGAACCCCTATTCAGGAACTTCAAGTTTTTCCCTGAACCCTAAACCCCCTAAACCTCTAAACCCCTGGAACCCCAATAACCCCCACATCCAAAACACAAAACCCCGAGAAGGTAAGGGCCTCATAATCATTAGAATCGGGTTTTTGGGGGGCATATTATACTCTAGCTATAGTAAGGCACCTTTCAAGAATAGTCTTGGTAACTTATTTATCGGCCTCCTTAGAACTATGATCTCTGCTTGGGGCCTGGTGCCCTCCCGGCCGGTATTCGGCCTAGGGGTGCGCCATGGGACAAAGGCGGCCTGCTCACTAAGCCTTTCCCGGGGGGCCCTACAGGGGGTTCCGTGAAGGGCTCGGAAATGGGTTCCTCAAAAAGTCATTTTGTAGGGTCAAAAAGATTATTGTAAGCCGTATGTTTCTAAGTCTTCTGTCTGGAGGTTAAGGTGAAAATAGTGGGTTCTAGGTTGAATGGTTTGCCTATCCTTCAAGGGTGCCCACCTAGGTTGGGAGCTAGGGTGCGGGCTTTGCTAAGTTACATTGGGTGTGTGGTTGCGCTTCAGTGATGAAAGGGTTTAGGGTTTAGGGCTATAGGGTTTAGGGGCTGGCAAGAGGAGGGGCGGATTTGAGGCTTTGACGAGGCTTTTGCAGGCACAAATGTCTAAAAAGACTACCTCAGCAGGCCGCGTCTACTAAGTAGAGCTGCGGCATCTGTCAGCAAAAGCAGCGGCGGGCGACGATAAAGCGTGGAAAGCAAACATCCGGTAGCATGTGCTAGACATTACTAGACACGTTGCAAGCTCTTCAGCCCATGCAGATAAAACCCTCCAATGCAGCCACGAGCAAATTTGCTCGCGATGTCTAGAGGCACCAGGATTCTCTTTCGGGTCTTTGGGAACGATCGTGGCCACGCAAAAAAAGGGCGAAGCGCTTAGTTATCCAGAAATGAACCTAAACCCCAACCCCTAAACCCACCAGCACGATCCAAGTCGCATCGCAGTTCGTGACTAGAACCCCGGGCCGGGGCGTTTTTCGCTGTGCTGGCTCGGGGAGTTTCACTAGGCAGCTAGACCCTCAACCCTCAACTAGGCCCTAAACAGCCCCAGAGGAGAACCGTGGACCGTGGCTAGGGCTTAGAGGGTTTAGGGGACCACCTGCGCTTCTTTCGCTGCTCCTCCGGGCTGCTTGCGTCAGGGACAGACTGCGATGCCTCCCACGCGGCAAAGACCTCAAGGACGGCATCCTGCCCTCGTGCTTGCGCTGCCTGCGTGGGGCCGGAGTTCAGCTAGGGTTACACATGTACTCAACCCAAGCTTCGCAGACATCATCACGAGACTAACAAAAAGCCATGATCCTCATTACAAGTTAATTACAAGTATGGTATTTTCTGATCACTAAATAAATCTAGGTACTGATATGGGCCATATGGGCATGTATCTATAGTGTATATAATATACGCAGGTACTTATGCTGTATACCAACATAGATACTCACATACATGCTAAGATAAATGCTGAACGAATATGGGTGAACAAATATATGGGAGTGAAACTATGCATATCAATGTGAAGCTTAACATACCTCCTGGGAGGCTAATCCCGGCCTGCAGCGCTGTCTGGCCATTGCGAGCGGTGCGGCGGAGATCTGCCGCCGCCTCCCAAGGCCACAAAAATGAGCAACACATCCGGAAATTTCTTGGGTTTGGGGGATTGAAGGTCGATTTTTTTTCCCTAGGCTTCCAAGGACCTTACGTACAGTTAGGGCCCCAGACCCCTCAAGGACCCAAGAATAAGGTCCTTGGAAGCCTTAGGGTTTCAATAGGCTTAGGTTTGTAGGCTTTGAGGCTTCCGTAGAGCTCGAGGTCTACCCCGAAACCCCGAATTGCCATACCCCGATTAAGATTTTCAAAAAGCTCAAGCATGGTACGCTTCCCTTTGGGCTTGGAGGAAGTAGTCTCAAGCCGCATATGATTGCGGAGCGTGCCCAAAGCCAGCGTTTTGGTTTACTGTTCTGACTTGAGACTGACGTTCTTAAGGCATCCCAAGCACGCCTCGGCACGATATTTACACAGACCTTTGGGTAGTTCTCTAAATTAGGGTCCCTTTAGCTCCTTTTAGGGTCCTTTTTATAAGGGTGCCGTACTATATTACGAACAAGGACCATGATCATGATTCGGAGTTGTACTACTATATCTCTATAATGGGGTCCCTTTTTAGGTCCCCAATATAGTACGGCACCCTTATAAAAGGACCCCAAAAGGGGACCCTAATGTAGAGAACTACCCATATGGACATTCCGAAGACTCTGGAACCATCAAGACTGATGTTTGCAGCTCAAGTTCGGGTTTCAGGGCAGCTGGAGGCTGCCTTTTCAAAAGAAACCAAACAAGCCCAACTCTCAACCCTAAGCCCCAAACCCCAAACCCTAAAACCTAAACCCCTAAAAACCCTAAACCCCTAAATCCTAAAACCCTAAACCCCAAACCCTAAACCGTGGCTTAGCGTACAGAAAGCCAGCCAGTCTACTGCCACTTCCAGGCAAAGGCGCTCGTGGCAAAGATCCTGCAGATCT